AAAAAAAAAAAAAAAAAAAAAAAAAAAAAAAAAAAAAAAAAAAAAAAAAAAAAACCACTCTGCTGTGATTTGACAATTACCCATCAAACGGGATGAGCTGCTGCTTTGAACTTGAAATCTCCTTCATGATGATGATCATCCGCGTGCTTGATTTGGCCTCTCATTTCGCCGCCATTTTCAAAGGGTTTGAACCCATGGCTGTGGCCATTAGGCTCATTAGGCCCATGCCCGTTGCCTTTGGTTCCTCCATTTCCACCAGAGAGGGCTTTGCCTTTCCCATTCGGGTTTCTCAAATCCAATCCAAATTCGATGTCTCCATCTTTGTCAGGATGCAATTTGGGTTCTTTTCCTCTGGGACGAGCGCCGCCGTGGGTTTTCTCCGGCTTCGCCCTCTGGTTTTCAGCTCGCCGGTTGCAGAGTCGGCCAAGGAAGCAAGCAACAGTGGATATGACAAGAATAACGGCAAGAACTATAAAAACTGCCCCGAATGAGCCGTTGGAGTGGTGGGAAGGAGGAGGTTGGCTGCCAACGGCGGCAGTGTTGGGATAAACCAAAGCTGGCTGCTGCTGCTGTTGAAGCTCCGACATGTCGGCGAGGTTTGGGAATTGAGGATGGAGGAGGGGATGGGTATTAATTAGTATACGAAAGGGTGGCGTAGTGGTGCTTTGAGTGGAAGGGAAGGGAGAGATATGAATTTAGTGAAGGAAGGAAGCAATAAGGTTGCATGTGGAAGAGGGTTATGTATCAATGAATGAGAGATTCCAAGGAAGAAAGTAAAAGAAAAGAGGTCAAAAAGGGAGGAACTTTCTTTTACTTAAGACACCCATTCACCTCTCTCTCTCTCTATATATTCTTCTCCACTTCTTTAAATTTTTAGCTAATCAACACAAAAAGTGGCATTCATCATTATAAGGATAGAGTTCAATACAAAATCATTATCTAAACAGCCTGGAACCCCATAACAACTATATAGTAATTTTTATGGAATTTATCGTCTAATTACGAGACAATAATATAGGTCGCTCTTATTCATGAGTTTGTTCGTCGAACGAATTCTCCCATCTCAATTGAAAAAGAAAATAATTGTTTAGAAAGGGTCTGCCATGTTTCTCTTTGACTTTTTTTTCTTTTTACGTTTTTCACATCTGCTTCGTGACATATATAGATATCGCTTGATCATCTTGTTCTTATTTGTTCATTCATTAGCATTTTTTTTATACTTCTTACCATTATACATTTGAGTCTAATAAATTTTAAAAATAATAGAAAAGGAAAAGTTATTGATGATCACAATACTTGAGGTAAGTCATATTCTTCTACCAACAGTTGTATATAACGTATCTCTCAAAATCTATTTTTCAAAAATCTCTCTCTGCCCTTGTTTTCTAAAACCTTTTTCTTAAATCGAGGCTAGATGCTCGAGCATAAGTCGCTTGGCTGTAGGCTACGTAAGAACGAATTGACTTAGCTCACTTGTCGTTAGAAAGTGAGTGCCGCACGATCGCAAGTCCGTTGTCATCAAGAGTGTGATTGTGACATGGAAGTCAATATAAGACATAAGACCATAGAGATAGTATGCATTAAATTTCATTTAATCAAATTCATGTTTTGAATTAAATTTATAAGTCTTAACTTCATTTTAAAGTGTTGAGATTTTGCACGCATACAGTGACGTCAGTAATTTAGGCAAGAAATTCAGGGACGTTACAGCATGAGTATCTCTCGACCTATTGTAAGCTTAATTAACGTTAAAATATTAATTAATATAAAAAAAATGGTGTAAGAGGAGAGTATATACACTAAAGTTGGAGTGGAAATGGTGAGAGGAGAGCAAAAGAGACAATGATTAGAGGGAGAGAAGAGCAAAAGAAAGAGACAACAAATCTGATTTGTTGTGTCGTGTAAAAGAAAGGGAAGGGGGGGATTATGGGTGGGGGATTCAACATCGGGATTCGAGACACAATTCCAGTTTGGTGCCGAGCGGCCAGGACATGAGGCGCTCCTCTGCCCTGTTTTTTTCTTCTCTGCTTTTCAAACCCTTGTTGCCTTTATCTTTCTCCAAGAAGGGTTGCCCTATAAAGGCTGCTCTACTCCCCCTTGATGGGTTATTTTCCATTGTGAAGTGATTGGTTGTGGATTTTAAGCAACTTTTCTAGGACCTACGCCCAACAGGCCTGGTCATGAAACATCTAACAAATCTCCAACGTAAGTTCTGCACAAATTCAACGTATTTGTAGGGAAAGTTGATAGTTATGTGGCATCATTTTCATCATTTTCTACAGCTTCTTTCACTTGATAAATGATGGGTTGGAGAGGAGACAAGAGGGAGTCCATCATGCTTAAAAACAAACACCCTTCAAAAACCCTCAAAATTGAAAATCAATGTATACAAGTATAACTTGTACTTTATTTGTCTTAACCTTCTTTTTCCCCCCAAAGAAGAGAAACCAAAAGGAAGATATAATTTGGTGGATTGTTATAGCTGGCTAACGTAACGTAATACAAGTTGCAAACTTGGCTGGAGAAGGAGATTGTCTAATATGAAAGATGTTAGGAGTTATGGGCGTCCTTGCACACGGGCGCAAAAGAAAAGAGGCTTCCCGATGCTTAAAAGTGAGTGTCTAGGATTGATTTGGCAAGTTGATGTCCACCCGAAACGATGAAAATGCCAGCCAGGAATTGGTTTGAGGAGCTAATGGAAGGAATTGGTTTCCAAGGCCGCCCCGATTAGCTTTTTGGTTTTGGAATCAGAATCAGGAAGGATGTATGAACGGGTCTATAATCTCACTGTGGATATAATAGAACTTGGCTCATCAAAATTACTCCAAACAGGAATAAAGGATCATTAAGCAATACTAATCCCTTGACGAAAGAAAGATTTTACCATCAAGAATAAATTGATCTTTGATATCGGTTTCAGCCTCTAAAGGGAAATATGTGAACAACATCCTATATCGATGCTTAGCCATCGTTATCTGGAAAGAATTCACTGTAACCAAAGCTACAAAGAAAAGCTAATCTTGACACTAAATTACGCGGCATTTTTATTTCTTACTATTCAGGCAATGAAATTGAAACGGAAGCAACAAAAGAATTGGTTATGAGACAAATCCAACATGGAATGATACATCAACTAGTTTCAGCTAGAAATCGAATGAAAATAACAAGCAAGAAGCCCCAAAAAAGAGCCCCAAACACAATAACCAAGGCTAACCATTCTGATATTACAGTATAATGACAAATAGTTTGCTAAAAAAGCTCCCGTAAACAGAAAAACCATAACCTCTTTGTAAGGTGCCCCATGAAAAAAATTAGATAATGTTCACCCTGCATCCAGAACTGTGAGTCTCAGAAGCAACTGTTCGATACTGCTCATGCCTGCATACAATAGGAGCATATGCATAGAGATATAAGTCACTGTTCAACAGGATTTCAGTAAATAGTAATGATAGAGTGAAAGAAAATGCAATGCTTTCCTCATTGTCGCCCCCCGCCCCATATGTAGGGGTATGATAAGGAGGAGGAAGGGTTGGTTAAAAACAAGATGATGCACCGTTGATATAAAGCTTTTCGAGTTTCAAAACCAATTGGTAAATCAGAGAAATATGTTAATATTTACCTTATTTGCAATGTTGTTGGAGAGCCAATCCAACCCCTCATAAAGCCCCTCTCCAGAGGTGGCACAAGTGCTCTGGATGTACCTAAAGATATCCATGAAGAAGTTCACATCTGAGTAAGCCAAGTTAAGAGAAGGAAAATTTTATATTCAGAATAAGATGACAAAGCCTACCAGTGACGCTGACGGAGCGAGTGGAGCCCAAGCTTGTCAGTGATCTCAGCAGCATTCATTGCATTGGGAAGATCTTGTTTGTTAGCAAACACAAGCAAAACTGCATCTCGCAGCTCATCCTAGGATCACATGAGATATCATTAGAATCTGATGGTCCTGTGTCTACATAAACTGAAACACAAGGGGGAAAGGGGTACACTACTAGTACCAGGTCTATTACAAAAAGACAAGCATTTGTGTCTGACTAGATAATAAGAAGAACATCATCAATGCTTAAACTTGGGTAGATAATGAGATGGCGAATAATTTAGAAAAAGAAAAACGGTAAATTGTGAACTATTTGAACAGTACTCCCAAAAGTGATATAGCAGGCTTTACGAGTGACTTCAAACAGAAGCTCAAACTAGATAGTAAGTTGGTATGTAATACCTCATTCAACATCCTATGCAATTCATCCCTGGCCTCAACAACTCGATCTCTGTCATTGCTATCAACAACAAATATGAGACCTTGCGTATTCTGGAAGTAGTGCCTCCACAAGGGACGAATCTGTTGGACAACCATTTAAGAACACAATTTAATGAGACAGTATATAAATGACACATTTAGAAATAAGGAACAAATGACCTGCATTCTAGCAGGGTAAGATTTTAATGAACACAATGTCAACTCAGACTGGAGAGAAATCGAGACAACAGAAGTTCAAACCTTGTCTTGACCCCCAACATCCCAGACAGTGAAGCTGATGTTTTTGTATTCGACAGTCTCAACATTAAACCCTGCAAGTAAAGGACATAGGCTAAATTATGATCTTCGGCAAAACAAGTGCTAAAAAATAGATTATGCCAAGAGAAATTTCAGTCAAGGTGACAATCAGCTAGTTGAATCCTTCAAGCAAACTTTCTTTGTACTGTTTTTCTTTCTGCATATCGATAATCAACTGGATAAGATGTAGGCGGTTAAATATTTCAAATCATAGAGTTAACAAACATCCAAATGTTAAAGCAGAAGGAAATTGTGAAACCAACATGAAAAATGCACAAAAACATGGTATAGTCAAATACCATATGGATACGGACTGCAGTGACGAGAGATCTAAATTTTCCTTCCTCCTTTGACAAAGGTGATAATCTAGTGATTGACACTTCACTTCAGCATTGACTATATATTTGTTTTATGTAAACATATATCCAGATGAAAAAATATTACAAGTTCAATATTTAAAATGGTTGACAAACTGAGTGTAGTATATAAATGAGCAGAAGAAAATTGCGAGCCCAGCATGGAGGAGTATTGCCATGGTGTACTCCTAGTAATAAATCTTATAAAATGCAGAGATGAGAGATGACGTGAGCTTACTTTCTCAAATAACATATTATAAACGAATCAATCTATATATACAGGCACATAGATCGAAGATAAATCATGTAATAACTCTGCTTATATCTAGAAAGGAAATGGAAGAGAAAACTCACCGATGGTAGGGATTGTTGTCACGATCTCGCCAAGCTTGAGCTTGTAGAGGATAGTCGTCTTACCAGCCGCATCAAGACCAACCATCAGAATTCGCATTTCCTTCTTGGCAAAAAGCCGACTGAAAAGCTTTGTGAACGAAAGCCCCATTCTGTCTCTGCCAAAAAATCCCAACGTGATTCCAACGCCATCAGAATATATCAGATGAATCGATAACCATGGCGACAAAGATCGGGAGAAAATAGCGATGCCGGAAATGAAAATCAACAAAATACATATATAGAAATCTAGATAATTCGAAGTACCATACAATAAAATGGAACGTAAAAAAGGAAACAGCTGAGAATCGTCAATTCCATAAAATCACACTCACGCTCACTCGAAGGGATCTGAAGGTATATCACATCGCAACTTCAGATCGGTTTGAGACCAGGAAGGT